CTGAAACACCTGCCCACGTGCCCTGCCTGGAAGACTGGCCACTGCCTCTTCTGGGTCTCGCTGCTCCCCTGATCCTTTCTCACCATTGCTTGCCGCGGCTCTCTTCAAGTTGAGCACCCTATCTGCCTCCCTTTTCCTACCCTGTCATTCTCCTTCAGCACTTACCACCTTGTCACATTCTAACAATACACTTTCATTGTGATCACTGGTGTAGCATCCCCCATTTGAGTGGCAGCGCTTTTTTCTTCTCTGATAGGTACCCTAAGTGTTTAGAAAAATATGTAACACATGGAAATGATCAATAACATTACCAGAGGTGACAAATGTGAAATTAGTTACTCCTTTCAAAAGCCACTGACTATTGGAATCCTTGCCAAGGAGGGAAGTACTATTTTGTAGGAATTAGATGATGTTACTCAGCCTAATAATTAACTTCTTGCCTCTTTGGTTATTCAGTTTTCCCCGAGTTTTTGTATGCTTAGGGGAACTCAGTAAACACTTGTCTCCTACGCTGAAAACACTGCAGCTGGCACCTGTGGTGGAGGCTTCCTCTGCGGAAGGGTTGCAGAAGTGATCAAGGCTGTAGCAAAGGGCAAGGAGTAATTGTTACATAAAGAGGGTTTTGATGATCAATATGATGCAGCCACAGAGAACTCCAGGAGGCTGTGGAATTAAAGGGTTTGTTTGCTCTGGTCCTGGCCAGGCCAGCAGGGCCCATGGTGTGGGGGGAGGGGTGGAAAAGCTGGACAAGTGTCTCATCAGGGATCAGGGTGGGGACAGCAGCACAAGGGTGCGGGGGGAGTGGGGGGGCTCACCGCTATCTTTGACTGTCCTTGGGTCATACTCATGCCATGGACCTGACCAGTTTGTTTCTCTGACTAAGGCCCTCAGATCCTGAACCACGAGGTTGTTCCCACACAACAAGCCCTTCATGGGCGTGCGGGGCCGCCCCGGGAGGACAGTACTCAGTGCCCAGAAGGTGATGAGTGAGGGAAGTCAACACAGGAAAGACAGGACATGAGGACCTGCAGGGTGGGGAGGCTGTTCATTTTCTGGTCTGGGGGCAGGGCGGGGGCGGTCCAGGGCAGTTGCGGGGTTATTGATGACTTCCTGGGCGCATCACTCTCTTCTCCCTTATCAGTTTCAAATGGCCGGGGCTTTCTTCAGGGACTCCTGTTATCAGCATCCTCCAGGGGACAGAATTATTTCCTTTGGCATTAAGCAGCCCAGCACCGGGCCCCTGAGGAGTGTGGGACAGGGCTGCTGAGGCAGGGCTCGTCCATTGTTCTTTGTTGAGGCCTGGGGCCCTCCAGGAACACAGGCGGGGGCCAGCCTGTCACCTGGGTGCATCTGGTCCCTTCTCACAGCCTGTTTGTGGAATTGCTGAGCCAGCGAGAAAATCTAGTTGAAAAAATTGCCAGCACACTGATAGTAGAAATAAATGCACACAGGGTTTTAGATCCACGTAGAAAAGGCAACCGGGCCGACTAAATTGTCTCTTTCAGATTGAACCCTTTGGCCCTGTGGCATTACTTCCGATGACATAAATCCAGCCTTGTAAAACCTATGTAAATATCAGGGCTGGGTATGTCTGTCTCCTCTCTGTGTGACTATCAGATGCCGTAGGTGCCGGGCCTGGAGCCGGAGAACTCAGAACCCACTCCCCGGGGTGCCTCTCCTGCACCCCACCTGAGCGTGCCTGCTCCTCCAGTGTTTTTAATCAGCCTCGCTAAATACTTCCTGCAGGGAAGGAGCATGATGAGCCGTAATCTTGCTACAGCTTTATTCTGAGAAAATGCAGTGACTGATTTACAGATACTCCTTGTTCATCACCAAATCCCAGTGCGGAAGATGCGGATTAAATTTCAGCTTTAAAGGTTCTGGGATCCCTCGAGGCTTAGAGTATAGTAATGAAAAGTTGAGAAGGTAAAAAGGATTCCAGAAACCACATAGTGAATAAACGATCGTCCGGCCTTGCTTCTGCTGTGGATTCAGCATTAGGAGGTGCAGACTAAACCACGTGTTCTCACTTAAGCCTCAGAACTCTCTCTCCAGTACATTCATATGGAATTTATTTTAACATCTTTCTCTGCAGTTTAAAGCACGTGCGCATTAGGTTTTCTGAGGTGATGGATAACCTCTGGGCCTCGCCCCACTAGTCCTAATCAGTTCTGATGGGTGAGAAGCCACATACCTGCAAAGTCAGCTCTTTGACTTTCTGAGCCCGATTGCTTGCAAGTTACCCCTTTCCTGTGAAGATTGACAGGTGTCTGTCTTCACCCAACATGGCCTGCCGGGTTCAAATCTAAGTCTGAGAGCTCTAGAAAGACCTGCAAAGGTAGGGCCGGTTCCTGTAGCTGTGCCGTGTGCCATGAGACATCAGGTGCAAACGGTAACGTTCTGGCTGTCTTCCTCAAGGAGTCCTTTCTGTCGCACACTGACGTGGCATTGCATTGTGACACCGTGTGGGTTTCAGGTGCGCCTCGCTGAGACTAACGCTGCGCATGTGCTGCCGTCCACTTGCTGCCAGTATCCAGCTCCAGCCTTCCTCAGCCACTTCCCCTTTTCCCGACGTCCCCACCCGCTCCCTTCTGGTAACCACCCGTCGGTCTTACTCAGAAGTTAATTTTTGTTTTATTTAGTTAAATGCTTTCTTGCAAACTTCTTTATCAAACATGTCAGCGTCTTGTATGTTTTGGGTGCTGTGTAGGGGGCGGAGCCCTAACCAGTGGCCAGAGGAGCCCACCTGTGGCCTCCTGGCACCTGTACCTCTTGTCCTGTCTGACCGGACAGCCACACCTGCGCTTGCGTTACGTGTTGTTTTAAAATCGTGCCATCTCTATGGACTAAGCATTACCTAAGCGTTTTCTAGTGTGTTATCTTAATACCTAAAAACCAAATGCTCCCCATTTTTAAGCATTTTCTAGTTCCAGATCAGCACTGTCGGGTTTTATTGTATGGATTGTGTTTTACGTCGGCCATTCCTACAGTATTTTCACCAGGTTTTCAGTCCTTCCTCTTTCACGATCAGTGTCCCCGCTTGACGTGTGGACAGGTTGCTGGTGTCCTAGACCAGTTTTCATGTCTGTAGGGGGAAGCTTCCCCACGCCAGTCAGCAACAAGCAATTCTCGGACACTTCTGACACTGTCTGCGCAGAAGTGTTGTCAGGCTCTGTAGGTTGAGGGCTCAGTCTCCCAAGACCAAGACCTCCCTCGTCAGTGACAGCCATGCAACCCAGCCTGCCACCTGCACTTCTGACCAGCTGGCTACGTGCAGCTGGAGGCATCCATGCCCCCCTGCCCAGGCCTCAGTGCCTGCTGAAAACCCAGATTACTACTACCTGTGCTTCTGGCCCACTGGCTATTACCAGAGGTTCCCAGAACTCCCTCCTCAGGACCAATTATTTTACTAGAACAGTTCCCAGAAGTTAGGCCACCCATTTACTCCCCAGATCACGTATTCATTATGAAAGGTACTAAAGGATACAAATCAATAGCCACATCAAGAGGACACAAAAGGCAAAGGATGGTGACAAATCATGGTGCTTCCATGCCATCTCCAGGCACCCCATTATTCCCCCAAAATCTTCCCAGATGTGCCAAACTAAAGCCCTCTGAAGTCCCTCCTTTAGGGTTATATGGAGGCTTCATTACATAGGCATGATTGATGAACTTCTTGGCCATTAGTGATTGAATTTAACCTCCAGCCCCGCCCCTCCCTGGAGGTCATTGGAATGAGACTAAAAGTTCCACCCTCTATTCTTTTGGTTTCCCTGGCAACCAACTCCCTCACTCCCCTCCATCCTCTGATGTTTTCCAAAACTTACCTTACCTTCATTAACAAAGCAAAAGACATTTTAACACTCTCAACACTTAGGAAATCCCAATGTTTGGGGGGGACTGAGGATAAATATCAGATATGTATGAGAAATATATTTTGTCCATCAGAGTGCTCAAATATATTTATTTCCTATAAATCACAACTTTGCCCTGACCCATCATAAGGTGGATGTGACCTGCAAAAGAAAAGCAGGGATCCAAAGAGGATGCTGGACCTTCAGACCTTGGCGAGACTATTTTATTCAACAGAAGATTGGGGTTAATCCTTGCAGTGTAGACGGGGAGCTCTTGCAGGGACTGTGCGGTGTCTTACCTGACTCTGGCATTGTCGCTGCACCCCTTTGCCTTCCTGCAGCTGTGTCAACCATTGTCTGTATTCAAGGACAGCACCACAGTGATTTACCATGCGTTCAAGAGCAGGGGAGCATTAAGTAAACTGTATTCTAGTCACAGGAAATGCTCTCCAAAGTGTTCAGTGAAGAAAGGTTAACATACCAAGTGGCACATAATGATAACAAAAATATTAAATGTAATAACAAATGTAATAACCGAGGAGTAGCCAACAGTTTTTAACCAATCACTTGGGGATAGAACCTGCTTATTTTTTGTTTAGTTTTTATATAAAAAAATGTTCTAAATGCTTATACTTACTAACTCATTTAATCACCTCATTTAATCCCCATAATCCTATCACTTGAACATTATCCCATTTTTACTTGTGAAAATAAAAATGAGGTACAGAGAATTTCAGCAGCTTGCTAGGTCCCATAAAAAGCCAGCGCAGGTCCTCACGATGCTCTAATGGAGAGTGTGTCGGGGTCTCTGTGTCGCGTGCCCACTGCAGGGTATGAAAGACGAGCCATAGGAACACGAGGCGGAGGGTGGGGGCACCTGCGATGTCAGGGGAGACTTCCACGTGGAAGGAGCACAGCGTGAAAGGAAGCCTAAAATTGTACTTGAAAAGAATTGGCCTCGAAACCTGACTTCACTCACCAGTTACATGACATTGAACTAGTAATCTCGTCTAAACTATGCTGTCTGCCATTTCTTTATGGCGTGTCAAGCACAGTATAGTATTGAAAGCTCTATTTCAGTGTTGGAGGTTATTTAATCATCTATATCTTGAAATATGTAATTCCTGGTTTTCTTTCCTTGCTTAGGTGGACGTGATAGTGACCTTGGGTGGACTGGCTGGGCGTTTTGACCAGATCATGGCGTCCGTGAACACCCTGTTCCAAGCAACTCACATCACTCCTGTGCCAGTCACCATGATCCAAGGGGAATCGCTCACCTGCCTGCTCCAACCAGTAAGTGGAGATTAAGCCTGACGTCTGCACTTGGCTTCCATGAGATTCCCAGTGTTTGAGTAGATGAGGGTGTCTCTGGACTCTGAGTGAAGTTGACCAGGTTTCCTTCCTCATGTCTCCTTCCGTCTCTTCTCTCAGTCACTAACAGAAAAAATGTAGAGAAGCCTCAGTGTTTTTATCTTTCCCAGAAAAAAGATCTTGTGATTTTTAATTAATTGATTAAAAACTAAATTTAGCACTCTTGCATTTGAGCAACTGAATGTCAATGGCACTTGAGGAAATCTCAACAGAGGAAACACAAAGCTTGGCAAATTTTTCTAATGGAAACCTCATATTTTATATATTTTCAGTGTTGTCATTATAATTGGAAACTGGATTTGATTTTGTTAAGCACTTAAAATCTTTAGCTTTTATTGTTCATAGGTTGCCTGCTTATTAATTTCACTGCCTCAGAATAAGTTTCTAATGATGATGCCATTCATTTCCTCTGAAAACACTGAGTAAATTTCCTATCGTGTAGTAGAACAGAATTCTTATTAAATGACCAAAGTTTTATAAGGTTGGGTGGTGGATTTCAGTTTGAAAAGTAATCGTGTGGTGACATTTTTAAAAGACAGTGGCCAGTTTTTCCCTTTTGCCGTTCCTTGTAATGTGCTGATTGTTGTTTTGCTTCCACCCCGTCTGCTCTCCACTCTCTGCAGCATGTCATTGTCTAAATGTATAATTGGAAACTGGATTTGATTTTGTTAAACACTTGAAAGAAAATCTTTTTTGGTGACTGTAGGGGGGACAACTCAGGCGCACCACCAGTTTTACATTTTTCCTGACTCTGCATCATCTACCTTTGTCACTTTCTGGAACACTTGGTATGAGAGCTGGAAAGGGAGCTGAAAAATTGAGTTTTCAAACTCCCTGTTGTCATTTAGTTAGTCAGCACACGGAGTCCTTGCTACCTATCTGTTGCAAGGCTAGGAAGTTGAAAATTAAAAAAAAAAATAAAATAGTAATTTATGGTTTTTGCTCTCCAGGAGATTTCCATTGAAAGAGACATAAAAATGTCAGCATAAAGCAATGGTAAAAGTTTGGCACATACAGAAAATGAAAGATTATGCAATTTGGTCATAAGTGTGATAAAGAGGCACTCAACTTTTATTCTGCCAGTTAATTCAGCAAATACTTACTGAGTCCTGCTGAATGCCAGGCACTTTTCCAGCCATACGGCAGCCAACAAAACAGACAAAACCCTTTTTTCTGGCTCTTTGCATCACCTACCTTTGTCACTTTCTGGAGCACTTTGTGTGAGAGCTGGAAAGGGAGCATGCGTTCTATTGAGCTTGCATGGGGCAGAAGCTTCGGGGATGAGTAGATATGGCGGTGAGAGTTTGCTGCCAGCAGCAGCCACTACAGAATGGCAGAGGTGTGTGGGCTTTGCTGGAGGGTCTGCAGGTGAATCTGAGCTGCAGCATGGGAAACGCCAGGAGACAGGACTAGAAAACAAGTTCACGTCCTGATTGTGAAGAACCATAAATTCCACGTGGTGAGGTGCAAGCTTCTCCATCTGAGGTCATGGGGAGTCAGATTCCAGTTAGTGGGGTGATGTGCACAGAGAGGTTTCCTAGCTCTCTGGTGATATAGATGTTAAATACCTATAATTTCCCAGCGGTCCTGAAGTTTGTTGTTCGTTATCATTAGGAAGCATCGAGCTTTATTGTATTAGTGATACTGTTGCTCAAGTCGTCATCTTGTGTTTGTGTAGATACTCTGGTTACTAGAATACAATTTAGTGAGGATGTAGCTTAATTTTTAAAAAAAAAAAATGTATTTGATAGAAAAAAACACATAAAAAATTTGAGTTCTGCTCTTAGGGTCTCATAATTGTTTCCAGTCATCTTTACCCTCCTGGCAATGTGACTAACCGTGGACTTGCGAACGCATGTTCTGTTTGGGATTCATTGGGTGGAATCCCCATCTGTAGGTGTCATCAGTTCACAAAACTCCCATTGTTTTAAGATACCATCTCTGCCCTGTTCCTCCTCCCTCTGCCAGTCCAGCGAAGAGAAGAGCCTTGAATTGTGTCATGCTTGTCTCTAAAACTTCCCTTGCGAATTTTCTGCTCTCCCACCTGCGTTCTGTAGGGCATCCTCACCTTCGTGACCCACGTCACTCTGCCTTTTAGCTCTGTCTTGCTGCAAAAACTATGCAGGTTCCGATTTCTGAAATGATTCTTAGGTGCTCACCCTCCCCACATTTTCAAGACTCTTAAAACATAACCGTCACACTTACGTAGTCTGGGGTGATTCTAATGTGTGCCTTCTTTCTAAGGCAGCGGTCTGGTTTTTATATCTTGTAATCTCAACTGTGTGTTTTGTGATTTGGGGCATGACTTCATATTCCTGCAAACTCTATCCGTGGGAATTATTTGAGTTGTGAGTAACAAGTCCAAGTTGAATAGAGAGTGACGGCCAAGCCCAGTCATTTGTAAGCTTTAACAACTTAGGGCATTTGGTTTGGATCCTTTATGGACCATGGAGGCAGTGGAGGTTCAGAGGGCTTCCTGCTGGGAGTTTGGCTTCCTGCCCCAGATGCTCAAGGGAGGCTGTTCATCTTCATCCATGGAGTGCTGAGGGCGGTACCGCCCTTTCCCAGAAGCCCAGCAGCTGGGGTTGCTCTTTATGCTACGCCTCAGGCGTCTCTGCCTCCCAGGGCATGGTCTCCTTTTACAGACTACCGAGGGCTGCCCTCGGGTCGTCTCCCCAAACCTCTGCACATCAGAGGCCTTAGACCAGAGTTCAAATACCAGATGTGTCAAAGTGGAAAATTAGCTTTGGGGGTTTTTGACTTCTGAGTTGTTTTCTGTTTTTTTAACAGATGCATTTTTAAATGAACCCCTTTAACTTTTTTCTGGCATTTTTTATTATTTTCAGTAGATCGGAGCACTCACGTCCCCTGTTGCTACTGTGAGTCATGCCCTGTTCTATGTTGCAGTAACAACCCCCAAATCTCAGAGGCCTAACTGAGATTACTTTTCCTAAGTTTTCCCTCATTATGGAGAAATCTGAGATGTTTTGGGTCTCAGCCCCCATGTTATATCTAAGCCAACTGGAAGGAGTTATGGCAGCAAAGAACCAAGCTTGCCAGAAAGCAGCGCTGTTGTTTTCAGAGCTGGGCCCTGCAGTGTCCTCTGCAGTTGGTTGTGTTCTCTCAGCAGATGGAGAGGACACAGGCTTGGGGCCAGGCACCAAAGTACTCTGCCCAGCCTGACGTCTGGGAAGGAAGTCTGGAACCCTGACTGGTGTGCAGCCATCCCAGGCCGGGCAGCTTCGCTGTTGATTCAGACAAATGGAAAAAGAGTCCTGGAGCCTTAGCTATATCCGGCACGCCTTTAATGCTGAAGCGGGGGACCGGGTACCTGGGCAGACCGGCAGGCGGGCAGGCAGCCACTGAGCCTCTGAGCCCCTTTGATCGCCATGATCTCCTGCTTCTCGGCCTGGGCATCTATAACCATAGGTGGTGCACCCATTCTCACACTCCCAAGTGCTTTTTGCAGTAACAGGATATCACATGCGGGCCATGAAACCTGGGAGGGAGACAAAGCCGCAGGCGGCGGCTGACAGTGGGAAGGCGGAAAAGCCTGACTTACTCCATGTTCCTTACAGTGTTTTTTTTTCACAGTTTAAGGATGATAATTATCTGCCTTTGTCATTGACACGGTGGTTACACTTCAGTTAGTTGTTCTGGCAGAATCGCTAGTTCTCCAAACATGGTGTGGATGTGACCCAGCCTACACCCAACACCCTGCCTCCGGACTCTCTCTGTGGTATGTTTCGTTGGTCTCGAGGAGGGCAGCACCTTCCCCTGAGAAAGTGGTCACTCCACAGCGTGGGGCCGAAAGCTCATGCGCCCTCAGCCTCCCTCACCGAGAGGCCCGAAAGGTCCTCAGAGCTCGGCCTTCCGCTGGGGGTTGGTCTGTCACCAGCTCGGGGTGATCTTCCAGACACGTGCTCGCCCCTGCTTTTCAGTCGCTTTCAGTGAGAGGGCAGTGAGACAGCAGAACAAATCCTAACGGCAAATGGGTTTGTTTGAGGGTTTCAAAGGTGAATGAGTCTTACACATTTTTAAGCATTTTATTTTTCTAAGCAGTTTTAACTGTACACATATATACCGTGATTAACACCAAGAGCCGGGCCTCCCTGGTGGCGCAGTGGTTGAGCGCTAGGTTGCAAAGCTGCCCGCAGCCTCTGCCACGCCGGTTCGATCCCCGGCTGCTCCCCGGCCACTGGAGGAGGGTCCCACATGGCGCGCAGACCTCTCCTGCCGCCCGCTGCTCCCCTCAGCAGTGTACTTCGGTCCTTCTGCCTGTTCCGCTCCCCGCTCTGGCTCTGGTGAATTCTCTCACCCTCCCGCGCTTCTGACTGTACCCAGTGCATGTATAAATAAATAAATAAATAAATTTTAAAGAAAATAAATAAAATTACTAAGCTTAACAGAAAAAGTCATTAAAAACATGTTTTAAAAAAAATTAAAAAAATTTAAAAAAAAAAAAAAAAACACCAAGAGCCATTTAAGCACTATACTAAGCTTGTTGCATAGACGCATTCTGCATCTTGGTGAGCTGAACTGACTGGCCAAGTTTATTTTCATATAACTATGTTTAATATGTAATGCATGTGCTAGATTATACACATGTAGTCAGCATATTGCACTAGATCGTGCCTACACTGGGGGATATTCAGAACAAATGTCTGCGGAGGACTGTTACTTGTAAATAAGATACAAAGTAATCATAATCTCGGTGGACAGAAGAAACACCCTAAAATTAAATTCAAACTAGATTTTTGAATATTCTTTGAATTATCACTCTTCAGTTATTTCAGATATTTCAAAAATAGTCTCAAGAAAATCCGTCTCATGTGCTTCAGGACCAAATAAAGTATGGCTTAAAATTTGTAAATTTTTTTCATTGAAAGTTAACAAATAACTGTACTCAGGAAGGAAGATAA